CTTACCCAAGCGACTGAAGGATATATCCCGGTATAAGAGAAACTAGGGAGAAAGCTGGCCAAGAGCTGCATCGTGAGTCCAATCATTGAAACCACCAGTAGCCCGAATGTTGCAGACAGCGGCTGCCTCCAGAATGTAGAACCCAGCTCATCTGAGCTCTCTTTCTCTTCCTTGATGAATGGCCTCGTCCATTTTGGCTTGTATGCATTAAGAATTCGTAACGAATAAGTCAACAGGACGATTGCGCCTAAGATGGCCGGGAAAGTGGCAACATATGGTAGCGCACAAGGCGTAAAGCGAGCAGTTCGATTATCCTTCGCAAGATTAGTGGCATTCCTGGCATCCCAAGAATCAAGACTGTGCCTACCCAGAGCTTGTGGCACTGGACCAATGGTGGAACGTCCTGGCTGACATTCCACGGGTTCGGCATCATCGGGATCTGTGCGGACGCCATTGCGACCTGTGGCGGCGCTCGTGCTATCGCGATAGAACCTCCTTCCACCTACGCGCCAGCAGTATGAAGCTCGGATCGAGGGTAGCTGTCATGTAGAGTTTTTAAAAGAAAAGATTAGGCATCAGCGATAAACGACGAGGAGCGGAGTGATGTCGGTGAACAGCCTTACGAATGGTTCTGGCGCGCAAGCACACTCTAAGAACTGCCGCCTTGCTGTTTTGGGCAAGCACGAACTGCATGATCCTTCTTGCCCCACACCACATGAGGACTTATTTGACTCAGGGACCGGTCAGCCATCGTCTTTCTCTTATTTGTCTTCTCTGTTGACCAATCTTCGTCGCGTTCCCTAGACGGACAAAACCGCCGTCAGCGTCTTTCAACCATGCTGTAAGACTGATGTACCGGGGAGTCACGCGCGCAAAAGCCTTCCTTTAGGCAATGACACTGGGCCTTTTTTCTCATGCGCACTGTGTTTGATGACCCATCTTCAGCAGTTTCACCGGTTCCGCCTCTGATAGGAAACTGCTAGCCCAACTGTGTTGACTGTTCTCGAGCTGAGGCAGTTGGCGGTTTGCAGGCAACCGCGAGCGAAAAGTTTTCACAAGATCATGCGTGTGCGTGCATTCTAAAGCCGATGACTCCAAAAGGTAGGGAGTATCTCCCATATGCTACAGTAACTACATCCGTCCAAAATTTCGATCATATGAGTCAAACTAGACAATCTATTGCACGTCACCAACCGGCAACCATGACTCAATGTACCTGATCGGTAGCTCAGACCAGCGAGAAGACAAGAGTGCATTCGAACAACTATGGAGTCACCGTTTTCGTGATGAGGATCCGACATCATGGGCAGACTTGATTCGAGTAGTGTACGTGATGATCCATTTACGCCCCAAATCATCACATGGAGTAACCGTGACTCCTGTACCATTTTTGTGACAAGCTTGCAATGCAACAAGCTTTGTTCATGTTCCAAACCCCCCACGATCTAAATAGACATTCCCCCCGTACGCAATGCATTCGCAACGCCTGCATTCTTCTCGACACTGATGTGAACCACCATAGTCTTGCCACAGAACCGGTTGCCACCAGCCACGTTGATCTTCTCAATCGCCTCGAACCCTCCGACTAAGGCAATACTCTTTTCGAAGCTATCATTGAAGGTAGAAGAGTGGTCGCGCCATATCTTCTTGACCTTTCGGTACGACTCACGGTATAGCATTGGGCCGATAGCCTCGTGTTTGCTGGCATCATTGTCGGCAAGCCAAGTGCGTTCGATTAGGATGTTGCAGATGGCGTCTTGATCTTTGGTGAGAGAAACGCCAGCCGGGTCGCGCTTGATGACCTCCTTGTCGATGTTTTCGGGGCTGTACTTCATCAAATCTCCCAACGTCATTGTCGGACCAAGCTAGGCGACTATGAGCATGACAACCATGAAAGTAGAAGATCGAGTGACGGCTTACCTCGACGCCCACATCGGGTGGGAGAGAATCAGCTATACGATTCATAGACATGACCAGGTCACATCGAAGCTTGTGGTTCTTCCAATCCTTGCGCTGACACTTGCGGTTGCAATACCATGTAAGCTTGCAGCGGCTGCAGCGAAGAAGGGCAGAACCATTGGCAGTTGAAGTGCGATCACAGTTCCCACACTTGTATGGATCGTTTGCCACCCTGCTGCCGGGGGAGAAACCGAACGTTGACGGTGTCGCCATTCTCAGAGAGACCGACCGATGTTGGTTATGTGAAGGTAGCCTTGAACAATTAAGAGAGTGACGGAAATGAGCCAGAGGGGAGAACGAGAGCGGGATATGGGATTGATAGTGATAAGTACGCACCAATGTTTGTCGATTTGGACAGATTTATGATCCTTGTAGGATGATCCTACGGTTTGTGTGGCTACTGTCAAGGCAACAGGCGGGACGCAACATATTTTTGCTTGCTAACTGTCTCAAAAGTACAGGAAAATTCACCCGTGTTCACCCAGCTACGAATACTTGAGCTAGGGCGAAAGCTTTGAACGTCGTGTACTTCTCCACGAATTGGCTTCCAGAAGTCCTATTCAATCTTTCGTATAGTCAATTCTGACCTTAGATCTATGTTACATCGAGAACTACGCGGAAGTAGGAGAGCTGGTACCTGTACGAGCGATATTAATCAATTTGGAAAGAAACCTGTTATTTGCTGACACTCACGGGAGGGCACATGTAGCGGTGAAGATGCATGCTTGGCGTGTATAATAGGGTAACACAAGCCTCCGGCGACTGAGATGTTATCCTGACGTACAGAGTAGGAGGAGTTTCCAAAAAGTGTAATAGACTTACATGTAATGGTTTTCTGATTGTTGACACGAACTACAAAGTGGTCTCCCGTAACGTGATACACAAAAATATGGACTGCGACTGCCGCCCAATAGTAACACAAAATGCAGCTTACATGTAATAGCGTTTAAGATGTTTGAAGCCTCTTACAGCACGTAGCTATTCTGATGAATTTCGTCGTTAACTGTTGGTTTACAGATGAAGTGACCGACTTGCAAGGACATCACCCCTTTTGTGGCTGTTTTCTGCACCAGCTGTCAAAAGGTTGCATCGTTTCACATGTGTATCCTGAGCAAATCTCTTTCAAGGTAGGCAGTTCGCCACAGTTGTCGAGGTAACTCATTCATTTTGCCTTGATCACCGTTCGTGCACGAGAACGAGCGATATTCGAGCTGTTGAAACATTGTCTCGCGATAGATTGGCTGTTTCCGCGTTTCCCGGACATCGAACGAACCAGTGTTCGTTCCTCACAACTTGCAAACCACTTTTCCGGTTGGCTCAATCCGCGTAAAAAAAGACTAGTCAGTACGCGGTCCGGGTTAACGATTCGGAGTTAAACTCCAGTCGGCCGACATTGGGCGCTCATTAATTCCGATAACGCCGTACTAAAGAGTGCAAAGGACTCAATCCTGGCAAAGTCTGTACAAAGTCTCCACGAAAACTATGCGGGCAGGTACTAGTGTTCCTGGCCGTGTAGACGATGACATTTAACCAATGGGGGGAAAAAAAGCTTTCACTTACTTGCAAGTAACAACCAAGTTAGCTAGCCCTGAATCAGCTACTGCCCCGCTCAGGCCCAGATTCTATGTCGTTCGAAGGTGTATGTTTGAATCGCATACGTATGCGACAGGCTTGTTGATATAAAGGCCTGGGACGCTCGGAGCGAAAAGTCCTCACCGTACCTCCCCTTTTTATCACTTACTCTAAGAACACCCGCAAAACCACCTACGCATATCGTACACATCATGGCGCAAAAGAGCATTATTCTCGTCACAGGCGGAAACACGGGAATCGGTTATGAAACTGTGAAGGCCCTCTACGCTTCTCCGGACGCATATGTCGTTCTCATGGGCAGCCGTTCGCTCGACAAGGCCGACGCCGCCATCAAGACACTGCAATCCGAAGTGACCGAGTCACAATCCGAGGTGGTCCCGATCCAAATCGACATTGAAGACGATGCCTCGATCGAGAGATTGAACAAAGAGATAGAGTCCAAGTACGGCAGGCTTGATGCTCTCGTCAACAACGCTGGTAAGCCACAGAGACCTGTCGATCTAGTCATGGTTTGCTCTGGTACTAAAATCAGAATAGGAGGCTCTCACGACGCTGCCATGCGAGAGAATCCTACGCCCGCCGGCATCCGCGAGGCTTTTGATCACACGTACTCGCTCAATGTGACTTCCACAAACGTCTTGACACACACTCTTGTCCCGCTTATTCTGAAGTCATCGGGGCCACGGATCCTGTTCGTTACGTCCGGCATGTCGTCCCTTGACGCATGTTCTGGTGGAAGCTCTATCTCCTCGGCTCACAAGGCGGGCCTGCCTAGCATTCCTGCAGGCTGGTGAGTACTTTGCCCATATAATCATCGAATGTCAGGCTGACTGCTCTGATCTCGTAGGCCAAAACAGCCTGTGCTCTCTCAGATTGCCTACCGCAGCTCGAAGACAGGGTTGAACATGTTGATGCTGGAATGGCAGAGATTTTTGAAGGAAGATGGTGTCAAGGTGTTCTGTATCAGCCCTGGATTTTTGGCGACGAATCTTGGTGGTATGGGACCTGAGAAATTGAAAGAGATGGGTGCCAAAGACCCAAGCTTGGGTGGACTTTTGATCAGGGAGGTCGTGGAGGGGAAGAGAGATGCGGACGCTGGTAAGGTAGTCAACGCGGCCGGTGTCCAGGCATGGTGAGTTCACGAGATGTGAATTGAACACTCCTGTTCGGATCACTGGACTACCGCGAATAAATGAAATTGGAAGTCGAATGCCCCAGGCTGAATACTGTGTATTGTCCTAGTACAGCATTATTATTAGTCTTTTGACCTGGTATAAATTGAGATGTTTTCGTAAGAGTATCGATTTTTGGTGTCCGTACAGGGTGCCGGTGATATGCGGCAGCAAAAATGTGGCGCCCCTCGTCGGAGTGCTCTCAAACCTTGACTACCTCTCCACACCGCATATCAGGTTGATTCCAGGTCGACATGAGGGCAAAAAGAGATTTATTTCCGACACCGGGAATCGAACCCGGGCCACATCGGGACGCATGTTCCAAACGAATGGAGATGAGAGCGATGTATCCTAGCCACTAGACCATATCGGATGATGTTTTTATTTGATGATGAAATTGTAAGTTGTACAGTAAATAATGAAGCAATGATCACCTGTAGACGTCAAGATAAGAAGCACCGGCTTTGGGGTCGGCCTGAACACTATAGCACGTCTTGACCTTAGTGGGCTACCATTCGCTTAAGAGGGATGGCGACCCCGCCGTTGATCGCCAACGTGCATCCGGTCCCACACAACCTTCTAAAATAGCTAGCTCCGAGATTGCGCCGTCCAAATATAGCTTCACTTGAACATTTCATTATCAAACCCTTTACTAGCATATTGGCTTAGTGCAGACAAGGCACTTCTCTTTGTAGCGACACCGGAACAAATAAAGTCTCAGCGAGATACTGGCAATGATTTGCGGTTTTAATTTGTCACATATTGAGCTGTTTGAAATATTTGTGTTTTGGCACCCCACCGAGTTCCTTTATCGAGTTTTGCCGCGGCTTGCCCAAGCTCGCGAAGTATCACATTTGATTTGAATTTGTCACATAACATCAACAGACCGCCGAGACACAAATCCGGTACACGATTCAAGGGGGGGTTTGCATTCGCATGTCTTTTCTCTCCATCTTCTCGGATTACTGTGAATGACGCCGAATTATAAACTGATCTACGCGATGGGTATAGTGCAAAACAACCAACTGCCAAATTCTCCAACAGAACGCTTTCGCAACTACCTCAGGGGCTCGAATCTCTTTCCCCGCTCGCTGCTCAGAGCGGCCGCCGCACCCAGCCTCATTCGGCCGATCTCTTCTTCAGGTCTTTCGTCACCTATGAATCCAGGCAGCGTAGTCACCGTTCTGTTCCATTGCTGCTTTGTCTCGGACCTCGCCAGCTCATCAGAGTAAACCATTCCCATCTTCAGCATAACCTCTGAGCCCATCCTGCTTGACCATGGCTTCTCTCTGACAATGTAACATACCAACAACAGCAACCCCAGTAGATGTAGGCCGAGAAACAACGAACCAAGATGATACCAGTGTTACTGATCTTAGGCTTCTTGGTCGGAGTACCTTTATTGAAGTATACTCTCAATTGGGTGTCGTCCGAGCGGAGTCCAGCTACGCGCTGGGGCAGCCAGATTTTACTCGCCATGTAAAGAGCGTTAGATAACACTGGAACAATATTCTCCTGCTGTTGTGAGGAGAAATAGTACAGCAATGAACTGACTTGTGAAATGACGCTGCTGGCTGTCCCCGAATCATATTGGCTTATGCAGCCCTTTGGGCTACTCAGAAGGTCGAACAGAGGTGCTTTGTAAACACAGTTGCTGGTGATTGCATCAAATCTCAGGTTTCTGTCAGGGTCGTCAGGTACGACGAAATTTGAAGGATTGGACATTCTGTAAGTGTGGGGTACAAAGTCAGTGAAATGCTCAAAAGGAAGATAATCAGGTATAAGTAGGTTATGTTAGGTTCAGTTCGTGACTAAAGTCTAACAAGTTCAGACAATGTTTGTAGCTGAAACAACCACTTTGTACCCCAGGGATTCTTACCTAGTGTCGATGAAGGAGTACGGCCCGAACAACGCTATGGCAACTGATGCAAGTGGGCTTTTATGGTAACCACTCCGATTCATTGTAGCGTTTCCACTGTAGGTTAAGTTTTCCAGCCTCCGCAGGAGGTGCCTTTCGTCGTAGTTGGAGATGCGATTGTTCGCGATCTGGACTTTATCGTCGATGAAAGGGTCTTTATCCAGCAATGGCCCGGGTACATAGCCGTTCTGTGAACTTGGGACTTCAAAGTATCCCAAAGACGTGGTGGACGTAATCTTCCAGTAGGTGAGATACGGTGCCTTTATGGGGTCGAATGTCTTGTAGTACAGTTCCTCAATTAGGTCCTGACGATCCCGTGTCGCTGAATTCGCGAATACATGGTCAGTGTCTGTCCATGGTTGAGTATTGTGTATTAGTGTGGTACTCACTGTTCCAGGGCGAACTGCGCAGGTCGTTTGTCATGCATACCTTGAAATCCACGTCAGGATTGCGCCAGCCGCTGCTGCCGTACGAACTTGGCTCAATGTAATAGTATCGAGCATAGAAGCCAACATTTTCTGTTTCATTGCGGCAGTTCTCTCTGAATACATCCTCGTTGATCTTTTCAAATGTAATCAAGGAATTCATACGCGGTGCGAATTGTGGGAATGGGAAAACACCCGAAGTGAAGTTGTTCACAAGGGGAGCGTATATAGGTCCAGCGTCGCTAATCCGAACGGTCCGAGTAGAGTAGTCGGCATGAGGGAGATGATATGGTACTCCCCAATTGTTGATGTCGTCGTTGCTTGTGAAAGGCGACTCGAGTAAGCTGCGCAGATCCAGAGTCCGTCGATCAAAGGACCATCTTTTTGAGTCGTATTCGAGACCAATGAGATTCATCGTGTCGAATACGTAGACGTATGGAGGCCGAGTACGGTAGAAGCGAGTATTTCAACTTGATCGACTAATGCAGTTTGTAAAATTTGACTAGCATTCCCTGTGGCAGTCAGCGTGATATGGATCTCACAGTTAACTCAAGGTGGTTAGCAATTAAAGTCAAAGCGAATGCAGTGTACAATGGAAGGCTCCCCATGGTCCTAAGTTTTGCCAATACATGAGGCCTAATCCAACCGGAGTCGGCCAGGGCCATCGACTGCATCAGCGTAAGGCTTCGCCTCAGAGGACTAATCTGCATGTATACCACGCATGCCATTGAGCATATTGCGGTAGTAACTGGGATAGTGATAAGTGCGGGGATAGGTTGCAAGCTCTGTGCCGTTTTGAAGTACTTTTCGCTGACGTCGTACCAGTGTTGGGGATCTTCAGAACTAGCGCGGACTGAATCGTATGCTTTTTCCTTCCTGATGGGCCGCCTGCTCGTGATGCATAGAACAACCCATGGAAATAAAGAAAATGCTGCGTTGATGAGGAAAATGCAGACCGGCTAGTACCTAGTACGCATCTGCGTGGTCTGTGGTTCCCTAGCGGTAATAGACGAACGTGGTGATGTCGAAACTTCGCCGACTTCATGTTTATTGGCACCAATTGTTTGTTCTTGAGTGTCGCTGGAAAGAGCGTGGAGCTCGATATCGTTTGGTGCCATGCCGGTCTTTCCCTTCTTCAATAGCAATGAGTGGGGTACGTGTAAGCTAAATGGTCCTAGTCTCGCATGGTGTTCGATGTTTTGTACATCAACGGCACGGTGTTTGTGAACAGGCGTGGGCAAGACGTGGGGCGAACCATCTTCTTAACAGGTATAGATTCTAGGCCCTCATCCCAGTCATGTGAATCCTTGCACGCACAGTCGGCACAGCCTTACGCCTTTGTCCTTGGCAGCGCAACAATCTCACTCCCAATCAGGGATTGTTATAAGGAACGGAAGTTCTGGCAGGAATCTTCAAAGTCTCGGAAAGGTGTTACATATCCGCTAGGCATTAAAAGCTGATGTCGCCTGTGAAGGTTTTACATGCTGTCATGATTGTGGCTTTCAGCGGCCACCAAAGCTTGCTGCACCCTGAACAAACGTCAACCCTATACATAGATCGCAATTGAGAAACAGGGAAGGCACCATGCTCCCAAGACGTTCAACCAAGTATATGATTGGTGGACGTACATGGAGTGATAGCCAAGCAATGCATCGGTTAGGTAGTGTGACCGGAGTCACGGATTGGGGGGCCGCACTTTCAATTCCTCGGCGAGCCATATGGGGAATCGGTAGTTTGCCTGGCTAACCTCGTTTCTATTTGAAGAGGTCGGCGCTGCAGAAGGGGATCGTGCTAGTGCAGTATGTGTCCGGAAGATGCCAGCAAGCTAACATGAGCGAGTCAACCCTCAGCAGTTGTAATAACCTGGACGTCCCAGTGGGGACGAACCACCATTGTCAGGTGACGTGTCGATACGGAGGTGACTTCAGTTTGGAAAGACGCAAGCTCAGTGGTCCCGATCCGTTTTATCGATAAGCATCCCATTATCACTCGATGTACCGCTCCAACTTTCGACTCCTTCATCGACAATATCATCAAACAGAGTCCCATCTATTGCTTCCTGTGTTTTCATGTCATTTGGTATGAACCAACACATGAAGTTCTTGTGATCTACCGTTATCTCTATCTCGTCAACCTCCAAGTGGGAGCTGCCGTACAGTGCCGAAACAGCATGTATCACGAAAGCCATTCGGGTACAGCCGAGTCTGTCTCGAGCAATTTCCATTCCGAAGCTAACAGTATCACTCTTACGCGCGAAAACATTAGTCGTGAGGCCATCGACCCCGACATCTCGGTTCACCCGCAGCGCGATGGAATTGCTGGATTATCTGAACGGCATGAACTACATCAACGACCTTTTCTTACCCAACCTAGCCCCAGTCGGTGTAATCTTGCAAGCCTATAGGTGAGTCAGCACGAAACCCAGATCTTTCTTATTTCCCGACGATAGTCCCCGACGCTCCTCCTGCGACGAGGCAGATCCTTCGACAGTCCTCGTACGGACAGTAGCGCAAGAAGTCCATCTGGGCTGCATGCTGCGTATCAAACAGTTTCTGTTCGGTTATGTTAGCTACGACCTATCAGATACTAACGCCATCTGCACCGACATCTTTCCCGAATATGGCGCCCCTGGAAGACTTGCCTGTTGAACTCATGGAGGCCATCATCCTTGATACCCCTCTTCGCGACTTAAGCAGTCTGTCAAAAACATGCAAGAGGATTCGAGCGATTGTCTTGCGGACAATGTTCCGCAAAATCGATTTCCGGTGGAACTCCAGCAATCCTCGCGGTCCGCCTATTACTGCGCTGCTTCGAAGCATCCTTGAAAAACCGGATCTCGGAAAGAACGTCAAAGAAGTAGTTCTACAGGCTGTGAACTATCGTGGCTTCCAAGCACCTGGCTTCGACGGCGACATCCTTCTCCCGCCACATACCCACCGCATCCCGGCATCTGATTGGGAAATGTTCGAAAAGGCTCTAGAAGAATGCCCATGCGAAGAGAAGGGCAAATGCGATGATCCGACGACGCGA